TTCATTACCTATTAAATAGATACTAGTACCCATGTATTACTAGTACTTATTCATTAGATGCCAGTTCTTATTTTAACAGGTATTAAATGAGTACTAGTATCTAATGAGAAATACTAGTGTCTAATGAGTAAGCACTATATTTAAAAAAAAAAAAAGCACTAAATAATAGGCACTAGTATCTAATGAGTAATTACTAGTACTTAATGGAAAAGATACTAGTATTGACAAAGTACAGTAGTCTCTCGCTTTAACATGGTTCACTTTTTTGTGGCCTTGCAGTTTCGCTGATATTTTCGTGCAATTTGACATTTTTCTACAGCGCATTGTGTCCTGTATCCTGATTAGCGCATTGTGTTCTGCGTCCTGATTGGCTGTAGACCATTGTTAATCAATCTCCTCACTGCCGTGTCTCCTGTGCAGTACAGAATGAGTTCAGCTTGCCAAATTGACATAAATCTTCCATCGCTAGCAGTGTGACTCTGAAGTGCTGTACTGTATGTTTGCAAGTTTTCTCACCAAAATGTTCGTGAAACGTTCTGTACCGTCAAAGGCACCCATGGTAGCACCCGAAATACAGAGGATGATACTAACCATTGAACAAAAATTTTTAACTTCTGGAGGTTAAAGGAAGGAAGAAGTTATGAAATGGAAGGAGCCATTATGAAATAAATAAAGATTAAATAGTTTTGATCTTTGGTTTCATTCTATAATAGTGGACTTATTTTTCTAGGAAGGTTTAAAGTTTAAGAGTGATTAAACAAGAGAGAAAGGTGTGAAAATGTTAATGTATATCTGAGGAAAGTGTATCAAGTTTTTAGTGATGGGTTTTACAGCCTTAAACATCCATAGCAGGGCTTTTCAAACTGTGGGTCGTCACTCACTATTGGGTCAGTGAGGAAAGGTGGGTCGCGAAACGTCACTTAGCTGCAGCTATTTACATTGCGGTGAATCAAAACCAGTACGATAATGAGCAAACGACTCTTTAGAGACGATTCTGTTTTTCAAATGAATCATTTAGGTTGAAACACATGAGCTGAAACAATCTGAATCAGTATTCATTGAATGACTGAGTCAGATTCATTTGTGTTGAACTGTTACGTGTCTACGTCAAGAGTGTGCAGCACTCATGACTGCAGCCGTGAAGTGTTTGGTAAAATTAAAAAGTTTTTAAAACTAAAGGCGTCGCAGACTTCTGATATATCTTCAGATCAAGCCAAATCTAAAAAGGAGCCACAAAGAAAATATGATCAGTTCTACCTCAATCCCAGTTTTATTGCCGGCAGAGGTCCAGAGGGTGAGGAAGTCCTGCATTGTCTTGTATGCTTAGAAAAGCTTGCAAGTGCTAACATGAAACCCTTAAAACTTAAACGACACCCGAAAAAACATTCTGAATATGTCAACAAAGGTTGATCATATTCTCTTCTAAAAAAAGAAGAGTATCTTCGTCAACAAAAAATGATCACAGTTACAGCCAGCATCCCAAAAGCACTTCGAGCCTCATTTAGTCCATATCAAATCACATAATCCAAAAAGCCAAACACCATATATTTTTGAGTGCTTTGAATGGATACATTTTTTACCCATTTTTCAATATTAAAATATTATGCTGGGTCTTGAGACTGAATTACTTGCCAAGGTGGGTCTTGGAATGAAAAAGTTTGGGAACCCCTGATCTATAATATATGTAAAACATAAAGCTGACCACACAGATTTCACCTATCGTGGGTTATTTTTAGAATGTGAAATAACTCCCACAAATAATGAGGGACTACTGTACAAGTAACATGAAAATAGATACTAATATGGGTCAAATGTCAAAACAGCTTGCCGTACACTCATTCTCTTTCACCGTGTACAGTTAAATAAAACCAAGCTTTCAAAAACAATTTAATAGGACATAAAAATTTACAAAAAGGAGCAAAATATCTTATGTACATATATACAGTCCCTGTGTAGTTTACAAATATACATTATCTTCAGTAAAACAGGACTACATACAGTATAAAGTCACTTACCTACAAAAACACTCGTATCTAAAAAACAAAACACAAACACCGGTACTGAAAACTTAAACAATCTGTCGATTGGATGTGTTATTGAAGGGAAGAAATAGAGTATGAGAACACATTCAGAGTCTGCAGTTTAGTTTTTTCCCATGTGGAAGACGCTGAGGAAACCTGAGGGCAGATTAGCAGCTCTCTTCAGAAAGTTCCCGATAATTCCCATGGCTCCTTTTATTCCGAGACCTTTGAACACACAATAAAGCAGTTTGTTCTCACTGTGAGGATCTGGGATCTGATTCCTATTAACTCAACTACACTGGTATAATTCAGTCTTTCTCTGAGATCCAGGATCCTGAACTGTCAGTGAAGGAGAATCTGAAAGGCTATCAGAGGAAAATAGATGCAAATGTTCAGAACGGAATCCAGTGCTGACACCCCATTTTGAAAATGAATATTTGTATCCATTTCTCAGTGAATATAGGAAATGTATTTTGGTGCATTTAAGCAAAACAGATTTATTAAAGACATATATTTATGAAAACAATATTTTATTCACCAAACATATTTAGAAATAGAAAGAGAAAACAATTCAATTCAAGAAAAAAAATATGGCAGAATAAATATAAACTACAAAAATTTTACATTTTATATATTTCCTTTTTTCTTGATTTACTTTATTTTTGACAAATATTTAATATTTTTCCCCAACATATACATTCTGGCAACTGTATATGCACAAATATAATATTGTATAGCTTCCTATTAAAATATGAATTTAAAAGAAAGATTTTTGAGAGGTGTACTTGTATATGCTGAGCACTGTACCTGCTGTTTACTGTGCAGTATATCCTGAACACTACACATTTCAGCTCAGTAAGATGTCTCAGAAGTTATAGTGGACTATTTTGAAATGGTGTTTTATTTAAAACTGAAACCCTAATGAATACTTATATGAATACCTATTTAATAAACACTTATATTCATCAACATGAGTGTGGGCACACTGTAAATTTAAATTTGGTGTTAGAAAAATGATTACAACATTCAACAAACTGAATAAAATCGAATGTTTTGTAAGTCCTCCTTGATATTTTAGGTAGATCATGATGTTATTTCATGGTTTCACCTAACAATCATTAGGGTATACAGATTTTTTGACCTTTAAAATTAATTTGTTGGAACATTTCATTTTAAAGCAAGATTCTGAAAAGGTTGTAGCTCACTGCTGCACATATTTAAATGAAATGTCTTTCTATTCCCAAAGATGATGTTGAATAAAGTGGATTTGTTTAAATGCACCAAAATATATGATCTGCTCACTGAGAAATGGATCAAAATAACTCATTTATGCTGTGCACTGTATACAGTTAACGACAAAATGATTAGCATTCCTGGGAAACTATAAATCTTTTTTTCCAAATGTTTTACAACTGCTGTTTAACAGAAATACTTTTTCAACACATTTCTAAACATAATAGTTAAAATATCTCTTTTCTAATAACTCATTTCTCTTGTCTTTGCCATGATGACAGTACCATAATTTAGAGTTATTTTGCAAGATACTGATACCTAAACTAGGTTAACTACACTGTAAAACCCAAAAAGTGAAGGTAACTCGAACCATTTGAGGAAACGGATTGCAACAAACCACACTGAAAAAAGTGTTGCATGCAGAACTATTGCAAACAATTCATTTGTGTTCAATTTAAGCAAACAAATTAAATTTAATAATGTTTAACTTAATTCGTTTGTTTAAATTCAGCCTAAATAAATTGTTTACAACCACTTAACGTGAAAAATTAAGTAAATCCAAGCAATTATCTTTGAATAATTTTTTTCAGTGCATTTAATTAAAAAAAAAATCCAAATGAGTACTGTGAACTTAATCTATTTGAGTAAAGAGAACTCAAACCAACTGAGTACTGTAAAACTCAATAAGTTAAGGCAACTCAAACTGTTTGAGGAAACCGATTGCTACAAATTATTTGAGTTAAAAAATAATCTATATGAGGACTGTGAATTTACCCCCTTTAAGTTGAAGTAATAAGGCGTTTAATGAACTCATTACCTTCAACACTGAGTTCAAAACTCTTTTCATACGAGAAGAAATAACTTTCAGCCAATTTTGAGTTAACTGCACTCATTTCATTTGATAAAGTGGACTGTTGGGTTTTACAGTGTAGGCAAGTCACTGTAGAGGTTTGTTTTGTAGCTAATCGAAACAATCTAAATACAATTCTTAAAGGGTGCTAATAATATTGACTTTAGAAGTTTCTCCCAGCGAAAAACTTACTATTTACTTAAGAAGGCTTTCTCCAGAAGAAAAGGAAATACTGTTAAAATATCCTTGCTTTGTTAAACAACACTTGTGTATTATTTGAAAAAGAATTAAAACTTCACAGAGGGGTTATATACACCCTATATATGTACAGTGCTCAGCATATATAAGTACACCCCTCACAAAACTCTCTTTTAAATTCATATTTTAATAGGAAGCTGTACAATATTATATTTGAGCATATACATTAGATTAGTCAGCACTGAAGCCAAATCTGGAGCTTATCTAACAAAATGACTTAAATAACGCTCCAAAAACTAGTACAGCCAAATTTATTTGTTATAGAAAAATAGTAAATACAAATTTTAAAAAAGAGGAAAAATCAAGAGAAGCAAAAAATTTGAATTATTCAGTTGAAATTTTGTAGGTTGCAAATTATTTTGCAATATTTTGCTTTAATTTAATTGTATTATCTTTCAATTTCTAAATATGTTTGGTGACTAAAATGTTATTTTTAATATATAATATAATAATACATATATCTGTTTAATAAATGTTTAGTGTAAATGCACCAAAATACATAGCCTAGATTCACTAAGAAATGGATATAAATATTCATTTTCAAAATGGGGTGTACTCAATTATGCGGAGCACTATATATATATGCATGCTAATTACTGCAAAACAGTATTCTAATCCAAACACTTCTAGTCCAACCGTTTTAGTGCTGCCTTTATCTACTGTTGAGGAGCGCTGCTGCCCCCTACAGAAGATGTAGGGTATTTCATATTCAGAATGATGAGGGATACTAAAAAAAAGCATTATGAAGGAACCATCAAATTCAGTGCCTGAACATCTGCACAGAGATAAAGCGTAAAAGAACCAATCCAAACGAGCAAATCAAGCTGAACATCACTATCCTGTCCCGAACGCTGTGACTTAAAAACAGGTACTGTACATCCTTGACTGTGTGTAAAAGATGAGAGATAACTGAACATAGATATTCTGCTTTAAATACAATGCCATTATCAGTGCTTATTTAGAATAGACTGGTACACAGGTTCGCTATGCGTGTGCTGTTGAATGTAAAGATTGAGTGTCTGCTGCATAGAAACACAGTAGAGTTTCTCACTGGAAGAAAAATAAACACTTCTGTTTGCAGTTCCAGTCCCTGAAAACACTGCAGCTTCACTTCTTCCATGCGCACGTGTGTGCGTCTGTGTGTTTGAGTCTATTTGAGACACACACACACACACACATAGTCTCTCAGCTCATCTAGTCACATAAACCAGTTTTCTAGAACTTTTTTTAAAGTCTGCTTTGGTGTGTAAGGGCTGACAGAGGGTGTTTTGGGTACTGATCTGTGCATGTGTTCAGGTTTGGTATCAGGTGTGTCCTGCAGACGGGGCGTCCCCCAGCCGGATACTGCCCAGGAAGGTGGTGTGGTTGCTCATGGAGATGGAGGTGTCCTCGTATACCATGCGAATGGAGATTCTCTGACGAGCTCGTAACAAACACACTCCGGCTGTGTAGCAGGTGTTGAACTTGCGCTGGCCGGTTTCGATGCTTCTGGTGCAGCGTAAGAACGGAGTTTTGTCCACCATCACCTCGTAACTGGCAATGTCGGTGAAATTCAGGTAATATACCTGGTGCAAACACACACACAAAGCGCATTGGGGCTTTTAATGTTGCTGTGGTATATTTGTGAAACGCATGCTGTATATGTGTATGTGTGTGTGTGTGTGTGTGTATAAGCAGTAGAGTCCAGGGACTGTACTCACTTCTACCTGACTATATATAAAGTATGTTCCGTCAAGTAGGACCTCCAGCTCTCCAGAGCGCGAGTGCATTTTAAACACTCTCTGGTGGATCGAGATCATCCTCCAATTCTTCAGCACACCTTCTGACAAATCTCACAGACAGACACCAGTAAATACTCAATCATCTGTTGTGACTGTAGCGACACACACACACACACACCAGGGCTCAACTGTTGAGAGCTTTTTAATATAAACTGACATTTTCATAAAAAATTCTAATTTTCAATGATCAATAAACTTTAAAAAAAGAAAAATGCCTTTTACACTCTTATTATAATACAGTATTACACTATTTACACTATTATTAAAATATTTTTCATATATTAAACATCTTTATGCTAAAGTATTTCAAAGTGTATCCTTGTGATTCAAAGCATCATTACTTCAGTCATTAGAGTGACAGAATCTGAATAATTTAATATGCAGATTTGGTATTTAAAAAACATCTGATGTTATTATGAATGGAATAAACGATCAATTATCAGTGGAAACTGACACAAATTTCTGTTTGTAATTTTTATGTGAGCAGAAAGTTCTAAAAAAACGTTATTAGTGTTTATTTTTTCAAATTTAATATGTGAACTTGGTTCAATCACACAAAAGCTTAATACAGGGTTTCTGCAGGTTTCATCAAGTCAAATCTAAGACTTTAAGACCTTTTTAAGAACATTGGGAATGAAATTTCAGATTTACATTTTTTTCTGGCCCAGTTAAAACATTAAAAACATTATAAACAAATGTCATTGTAAGGATGATAATTAAACCATATTGGGATATAGAGTTAATAAATAAATGTTTGTTAAAGGTTTTATTGAGATGGATTGGTGGTGACTGGATGTGTGTTGGCCCGATTAGGTGACTTTACGTGGACAGAGGAAAATTAAGACCTGTTTAAAATGATTCAGGACCAACACAATATTTCAGTGAATTCAAGACTTTTAGGGCCTAAAATTCTATTTTTGAAATGTAAGATATTTTAAGACTTTTATTAGGCCCTGAAGACACCCTGTTACATAAATAACCTTAAGATTGATGTATGATCTGTTAAGATGAGACAAATCTGGAATCACATGAATTTTAAAATCTCCTTTTATTATTTTTTATTTTTTAGAAAATTCTTTTAAAATTGCCCCAATTATGTTCCTACTTCATAGCAGTATAAATTATGACGAATCACAAATTATGCTTTTTTTTATATATTCACAGTAGGACATTCACAAAATATATTCTTAATAAATATCTACTTTATATTGTAATGTACCTGTGAAATAAGTTTATGACACAGGGTCACATATGTCACTGCTGTGTAAAAGTATTTATTTAAAGAAAAAATTTCTGACTCAAAACGTCTGACTGGTACTTTTTCCATGAAATATACATTTCTAACAAAGTACACATATTATGGCCAGTGGACCATCCTTACAGCTGAGCCCTTCATACAAAGAAGTCAAAACAAAAACAAAAAAGCATTTCTTTATGAGAAGGATCATTATTTAACTCTTACCTTCTTTCACTTGGATAGTGGTTTCTTGACCTTGAAGATGCACCACAGCTGGCTGCAGAAACATCAAACACATTAAAAAATCTATTATATCTTTGCGCACACTCTGAAAAGCATGATGAAAATGTGCTTGTGTCCATAAAAGGTCCCCTGAAATTAAACTAAGGTTATTTTTTATGTTAATATCAGTATTATGCTAGTATGCTCCAAAATAGTGACAAAATTCACATATAGAAGATATAAAACTGATATAGATATGTAAAGTTTGTAGTTTGTCACTTTCACCTAAATGGATCAATGGTTTTATTCACAACAACCTATACTAGTTTCTTATCACATCATAACAAATTAAATGCTCTCTAGTATATGACATGCCCCACCCCCTTCAAGACGCTTCTCTTTTGCTTTTCATTTGATGCGCTTAGGCTAAACCATTCTTACAGGCAGAGTGGTGATGAAATAAAACTCTATTGGCTGTTTTTTTTTTTAAAGGGGAGGAGCTACACAATGTCCCACCCTCTATTCATGTTTTGGTTGAGATTACTTGAAACATCGAATAAAAATGCACATTTTAAAGCATTTCACAAGACCTTTAATCTACACTCCCTAATATCATCTCTTTTATATGGAGTCATGTGCAGTGTGTCTGTGGAGATGAACACACATACCTGTGCCTCTCTGTGTTTGCCTTTCTCACCACCTGTTAACACAAGGGGAAGGGGAAAATTAGATGGGTTTAGTGTCTGTTAAGTGACAAATTATTGTGATAAACTTTGAATCATGTAATTGTAAATGTCAAAGCTGTTTTGTGTATAATCCCTTCACAGCAGGAGTGAAGGCTTCCACACATCTTTACAACTAGCAGAGCTGAACAAAACACTGATGACCAGCGTGAAAGACATTCAGGACAAGTGATGGATTTTACACGACTGTTTCAGACAACAGGTTTATCATTTCCATGTGCTTTTAAGTGCAAATGTGTGAACGTTTGGGCTATTTAAAACCAAATGTAAGCAGTTGTGAATGCGAGAAATACAAGATGTATCGTTTTTAGCACACAGTTCAAAACAACCCATTTGGAGTTTTGATATTTATTATACATTGTATATTTACATATATATATTTTTCTTTTATGTCTTCTTGAAGAAAAGTAGTGAATATGACATTTTACCTTCTTGATCACAAATCATGTTGCACTGCTTGTTTACTTCAACCTTAAAATACTTCTTTTACACAATATTGTTCTGTCTATGTACTTGTATAGTCTGTCTTAGGTTGTGTGTATTTACAGAATGTGCATAGTTAGTAGTTAGCATAGTTAGATTACCACTTTGATATGTTAGTTATATATAGGTTTAAAATACGTCCAGTGTTGTGTTTAGAATTATGATTATGTTTATTTATGTAGCACTGTAGTCCTGCAAGACACAACATTTCATTCCACTGTATATCTACATGTGTAGCGGAATGACAATAAAAAGCACAACTTTAACTTGAACTGGCATCTCTATTATTATACTGGGTCAGTGCATTTTGTTCCTGAATGGAAAAACAATTGTTTTTCTAACAAGGATTATTACATGGCTCTCTGGAAAACTTGGTCAAAATGAATGCTTTTTCCCCTGATAGCATAACCAATTAAACAGGCTCAATTAGATACTTATAAATAGCTTTATATTTAATTAAATGGCTAATAAATGATTACAGCTCAGATCAATGTCTTGTATCTCGCTGTTCTGTCAAGTAACAGAGTAATGCGTTTCTCCTCATGCTGGGATTTTGATAAGCTGGTCAGGTTTTGTTCTGTGATAAAAACCAGCAGGATGTACATTATTCCTTACTTAATCTATATTTATTTTTATTATAAAGAGGATTCTACTATATCAAAACTGGAACAAAACTAGTGAAATACATCTTGGTCTCAAAAATGATTAAACTACAAAATAACATGCTTAGAATAACACAAAAAATCGGCACTGATAGCCTTGTGGGTAGTGTGCCGACATATAGAGCCACTGTGCTTCTGGAGTCCTGAGTTCATGTCCCAGCTCACAAACCTTTCCCAATCATTTTAGCTTATATCCTGTTATTATAAATGGCAAAAATGAAACAACTAAATTGAAAATTTTAAACAATGAATTCCTATGGACTACAAAAACACGGCACTGCAATGCAGCCCCATCATTTAAACCATGGGTCTCAAACACAGCTGATCCAAATAATCAAGGGGTTTGAGACTCTTTTGAACAACTTAATTATTTGGATCAGCTGTGTTTGATTAGGGTTGGAGCAAAACTGTGCAGAGCAGCGGCCTTCCAGGAATTGAGTTTGAGACCCATGGTTTAAACTGATTTTGCTCTGCTGCTTCACTCTAGATGTGAAGTGCTCGCTTTGACTGTATGTAGAGGCAGGTGTCAGTCTTAACCTGAAGGTCCCTGAGGTCCAGGTGGTCCTTGTGGTCCAGGTGGTCCTTGTGGCCCAGGAGGGCCGGGTGGGCCAGAGGGACCCATGGCGTTGCTGCCTGGAATTCCTGGGATCCCTGGTATTCCAGGTGGACCCTGTGGACCAGGTGGCCCCGGAGGTCCAGGAGCACCAGGGGGCCCTTTCTTGCCTAAAGACATAAAGAGAGAGAGAAAGGAAAGCAAGATCAGTCTCCCATAAGCTGAAACATTGAAAGCACTTAGAAACAACTGATGAGAAGCAAAACAAAGCTCCTAAAACTGCCACTCAATTTTCAAATAACAGCGAGAGGATGATGAAATTACCTTTTTTTCGCTCGCCTTTCTTTTTTCCATTAGTTTCTGGATGAGGAATAAGCAGAAGGAAGAAAGACAATCAGTTGGAAATGTATCATTTTACATTCACAAATCACACATGCAACAAAATGTTCCTCTTGAAATCCTGTTTCAGATTCCAGAAAAAGCGGATGATTTATTCCAAGAGATGGTTTATTTGCTTCAAAGTGGCTAAATTGATAATGACGCTCACATGACCACAGAAAAACAAACCCATGTGTAATTTGAAGGACAATTGCTTCTGCTGCTGTCTACAAATACACACATGCACACGCACACGCACACACACACACACACACACACACACACACACACACACACACACACACACACACACACACACACACACACACACACACACACACACACACACACACACACACACACACACACACACACACACATTTCAGTACTAAAGCAGCATTGGATCCTCTAACATCCACATGTATAATGTTGATAACATATGTGAATGAACAATCTATAATACAACCGATCAAACACACAAGCAAATCTACATTTGTATAATCAGAGCTTATCAGTGATGAACAAGTAGGACAAAGACTTTTATAGCTAAAGTCTAGGGTAAACACCCACACGCACAGGGGACTTCACATAGAGATAATGACTTTCATACTGTACAGACTGTATTTTCTATCCCCCTACCCAAATTGACCAACAATTTAAGTCCCCACTGTGCTACAAGTTCCCTTGAGTGTGTGCATTCAGGTTTAAGTCCTCACTGGGATTTAAAAACGAGCACACATACACTCACACACACACACACGCACACACATAAACTCTCAGGAGACGGATCTGTGTTCCTAAGGCCTGAGGTCACTCTTGTGTTTGTGTTGGCTAGTATTCGGGGGTCTTTTTTTTTCGTAATAAAACTACTTCAGCTCATTTGTAAATGACTGCCGCTTTCATTGTGTTGTCTGGTGGGCTTCGCACGCGATATCTCTTTTTCTCAAAACACAGAATATCAAAACTGGAGACAAACAACTTGCTGCCTTTAATCTTTTCCTGTAATCGTTCTTTTTTTCTCATTATATGAAAATCAACTAGAGTTGAAAGAAAGACCAATATGCACTTATATGAAATCAAACACGAACAACCAAAACCAAACATGACACACAGAATAAGCATGCAAAGAACTTGACCTGCCTTCAGTGGCGCTCTGCAGAGCTCCCCGTCTTCTTGAGAAAACAATCAGGAGTGAACTCAGCGGACAGTTATTTCAACACAAACCCTGCATCTTTTACACATGCCAGCTGCAATTCAGTTCAAGCAGCTGCAAATGCCAGGTGCAACCAACACTGCGCTTTCCCTGGCCATGAAAAGTGGAGGGTTTAACATAGCTGATCAATTAAGTCTTGATTTTGTATTCAATTGAGTCTATTTTTAACACTTTTGTGAATTTCAAAGAAAAACAAAAAGCACAGACTAATGGTGTGCAATATTGACAGATCTCAACATCAGACTGCTTCTTACTCATTACAGCACATGTACAGCATACCTCTCCTGCTTGTTTGTATACAATAACTGATCCTTGAGCTCTGTCATGTTAACAGCTTGTAGAAAAGTCTCATTGGGGCTGTGGCTATTTGCCCTTAATTGTAAACAGAATTCTTGTATCCTGTATTTTTCTCAAAATTTTTCTCAAAAATTGTATTTATTTGCATATTTGTGTATATTTTTAAAGGTTTTGGCTGGAATGGCATCCGCTGCAAAAAACATATGCTGGATTGGCAGTTTATTCCGCTTTGGCGACCCCAGATTAATAAAGGGACTATGGCGAAAAAAAAAATGAATGAATGTATATTTTTACAGTCTTTCTATAGTGTTTTGGGCTCAGTGGTTAGCACTGTTGCCTCACAGGAAGGAGGTCGCTGGTTCGAGTCCCGATTGGGTCAGTTGGCATTTTTGTGTGGCGTTTGCATGTTCTTCCCATGTTCATGTGGCCTTTCTCCGGGTGCTCTCCCAGCAGCCACACAACATCACAAGACGTTAATATTAGGTTAGATTTAAGTCGTAACGTCAGGTGACCAAAAATCTGTTGAGCCAGCGTCTAACAACAAACATTATTCTGTCTTCCACAAACAACATCAAATGACGTTGATATTTGGTTGATTTTAGGTTGTGTTAGAAAGTAATCAGAATCTAACGTTGAGCCAACATCTTAAACCAAGTCATATTGACATTAAATACGGACATTTATTGGTCAGGTATGGCAACCAAAATCAAATGTCTGGTAGATGTCATAGTGGTAACTTCCACACAACGTCAAGCTGTAACATCTCGTTTGGTTGATTTTAGGTTGGACGTTGACGTCCGCCTCACGTTGGGATCTGATGTCAACCCGGTTTTCATTTCCAAACAAAATGCATTGTCCCCATGACATTGGGGTACAACGTAAATCTAACGTCATGTTGACATCCTGTGCCTGCTGGGCTGGTTTCCCCCACAGTCCAAAGACATGCGCTATTGTGTATGGGTGTTTCCCAGTACTGGGTTGCAGCTGGAGGGGCATTCACTGTTTAAAACATATGCTGGATAAGTTGGCACCTCATTCCGCTGTGGCGAGCCCCCTAAAGGCACAAAGCCAAAGGAAAATAAATGAATGGTGTTTTGTGTTATATGTAGGCTTCTAGTGTCTGAGAGTAACACAATTTCAATTCTCTGTATGCCTTGCATTTATCGTTAATAAATTTATAATGCAAACATTTATAGGAACTGACAATAAAACTAAAGATACATTGGCTAGTTTAGGCCTGTGTTTAAAAATAAATACACTAAACTGCATGCAAGTGGTAGCAAGGCTGTTTCAATGAGGGATTCACTAAATTTAAAATGATCTGTTATAAATGAAGCGATTGGCTTTATGAATTGATTACAGACATAACTGACAAAAAACTATATTGTGTCTAAAATGTAATACAATATTAACTTTTTGTTAAAACAATTAAAAGAAAAAAAAATCATATTCTTTAATCATGTTTACAACTAAAGTTTGGGAAAAAAAAAAACTCGTTTTATTACTAAAAAACAATACAGGGTTTTCTCTCTCTCTCTTGAGTTAAGCTTTATAATAGCTTCATCATGCAGTGAATGCTTTAAGAACGCTTCATTTTTTGCAAAGTTTGCGACATCATCATGATAGTCAGCTTGCACATTCTTCAAACATTAATGTTGATAGTATTGTAGTCTGTAAATATCACGCCACTGTAGCGCAGACAACTAATTTATAATAATTTATTTCAACTAAAAAAAAAAAAAAATAAAAAAAAAAATAAATATATATATATATATATATATATATATATATATATATATATATATATATATATATATATATATATAAAAAACTGTATAAAGGTGGCACAGTGTCTTAGTGGTTAGCACTGTCGCCTCACAGCAAGAAGGTCGCGGGTGCGAGTCCCAGCTTGACCAGTTGGCATTTCTAGGTGGAGTTTGCATGTTCTCCTAGTACTTGTGTAGGTTTCCTCCGGGTGCTCCAGTTTTCCCTACAGTCTAACGACATGCGCTATAGGTGAATTGAATAAACTAAATTGGCTGTGAATGACAATTTATGGGTGTTTCCCAGTGTTGGGTTGCAGCTGCAAGGGCATCCACTGAGTAAAACATATGCTGGATAAGTTGGCTGTTCATTCCACTGTGGCGACCCCTGAAGAATTAAGGGACTAAGCTAAAGAAAAAATAACTGAAAAAAATGAATACTGCATAAATCAACCACAATATACCCCAAAATAAATGATTTAAAAGGGACCTATTATGCAAAAACACAAAACACTGTGTTTAAACACAGTTGTGTGGCAACAGTGTATTAATTTAGCCAGCTAATCCACATCAATTTGCTAAACATAATTTAAACATCACCCTACATATTAGTAATCACTGGGTTTGTGAGATAATTGATCCTGTAAATTTACAGCAGTGATTTAACCAGTGTATGAACTCCCTCTGGTGGTGATGGTGAGCTTCAGAGAGAGATCACACAAGAAAAGCAATAGGACAATGAGCTTATGACTACATTTGAGACAATTTAGAGGTAAGAATCTTTCATGAGTATTTTTCTAAATGATCACAAATCACAGTAATGCTTAATTTAATCAGACAAGCACAGTATTGTGAGTTTTACTGGCTAAAATAGAAATCCATAAAACTGGTATGCATGTGTGCACGTGTGAATGTATACAAAGAATTCATAGGGAGGGCTCCTTGACGGTGGGTTTGTCTGTGTTTGTTTTAAATGGGAGAAAAAAACGAACGAGTGTTAAAAGTCTTTAATGAATGGAACAAATTAGCATCAAAGACAGACAATATTGGAACCATATTTCACAGCAAACATGCAGCTGCACACACAAACACACCGAACACCAGCTGTACATTCACAAAGTGCATGTTTATGAGGCCACAAAGTGAGTGAGTTTGTCTATGTCCATGTGCAAGTGTTTTGACCCTTGAATCTGTGAATTGGGAAGGAGACGGCATGACTTTTTGATCACAACGATGGATTAGAAATGGCTTCCTTATTGAATTACACACAGGCACTCACACACTATTTGGCAGTAGATGGAGCAACTTGTGCATCAAAACTAAATGCTTTGATTTTATACTAGAATCTAATCAATTAAAACGGGTTGTCAACATTTCATGGAAATGTAGTTTAACAGAATTAGAACCAAGTCATAAAAATCACGTAAAATATGAGTTATATTGTGCGCGCACGCTGTTCAAAACATGTTCAAAACACAGCGTTGAGTGAGGTCTGTATTCTTCAGCACACACATAAGAGCCGCATGCAAAATCCTATACATCTATATTCCAGTAAGTTATGGATTTCTTAACATCCATGCACTGCTGTCAAATATACAGAGATTTAAGCTCGGATTATTAAAAGCATGCTGTATCTGCAGAGTTCAAGACTGAACAGCGTTGTGATTCACCTATGAATACATGTAAATGTGCTTAGATTACTTCTAAGGGTAAAGCCAAGTGTGCTTTTCTCAGTAAACCCTGAAACACAATAATTGCCTTTTGTGTTTGCATTGATAACTTGCCAGAACGGGCATTTTGGCCAAGAAGGATTTGACCGTTCACACGCGCTCGCATTACCACAAGGTAATATAGAACAACTGTCTAGCGGTGCGATGGGGCTGTTCGCGACAATTTATGGTGGTAAAACAATACAAACCGCCCTAAGGCTTTCTATTCTTTTTTTTTTGCAACAGTGTAATTACAGTAAGTGCAGTTATACTCTCATTTGTAGGTTATGAACTCGGACAGAAAAAGTGAAACGAGAGTGTAACTGTAACACTGTAACCTAAAATGTAACTTTGTTTTGAGACATATTAATAATGGTGTATTTTTTTTATATAATGAGTCAAACTAGATGAAAACTGCTGATGGAATCACAATACTGAAATTGCACAGCATTGTTATAGTAGCTTAAACAAAATGAATTTTTTATTATTACAATTGATGACATTTTTAGAATTCTCTTTTTAGGAATGCATGCCATCAACTCATTAAAGTGTGTGTTGTATTCACTTTCTTTAATGCGCCAAAAATCCTTTAATTCACAAAATTTTTTTTAGGCTTGCTTGAGGTGGTTTTGGACGTGTGCGAAAAAGTGTTGCAAATAATAATACATTTTGACACAGTGAACATTACACCCATGTGACTAATCAGCTGTCTCCACCATTACTACAATCACTCTAGATGGAAAAAAACCTAGTTCGCATTTGAAATGTAGTGCCCTATCAAACAACAGGCGCAATAAGGCGCAAGACGTGTATGGTGCGATTTGTTGTTATTTTCAGACCAGCATAAAAAAAAAAAAACACTGCATCAATGCCTTCTTCATGTCGGGGGGCTTTTTCAGTTTATTTCAATTTGAATAATGTTATTATTATTAGCTGTATTATTTATTATCTGCATATTTATATTTGTTTGAATAAAAACAAGCTTAGATTTGTCCCCCTGTTGAGTTTTGGAGATGTATGCATCAGCATATGGGGCATGAGAATAGGACGTTTGTTTCAATATAGCTCAGTTTTTTTGAACACACTTCATTATTGTTGATTTATTCTTTTGCTGGAAATTAAAACTGAATATAGAAATAGTTTTGAAACAAATCTTGGCACTTAACATAACAAAATTAAATATGTAGGCTGATGAATGTTTTCAGTGCAGTGCTTATAATACCATTTCCTTTTCCATGAAGGTAAAGGAGTAAAGAGTAAAAGAAATATGAAGTAAAGAGGCCAAATGGAGGAGGCTCATTCTTTAGTCTCGTTCTGGTCTGTTGAACTGTTTTCTCGCTAGTTAAGCATTTAATTTTTCCTCTTACAAAGTCTGTCATGTAAATAGCAAATGCACCATGGTGTGACGCAACTGACTCTTAAAGGGAATGTGAGATGAGACTCTGATTGGTTTAATGCATGTTATGCTCAAAACACACCCAGAACTCATTAAGAGAATAAGAACAACCCTGTTAGACCATGCGCCGGGGCGCAAAGCGTATTTTTCCATCCTTACAATAGCAAAAGCTGATTCGGACACACCTTTAATTTATTAGACTTTGTGCGTAGATCATTAAAATAGAGCCCCTAGACTTTTTTTTGCAAACTTTGAAAGCATTTGCTTCATGCCATACAGGAAACCCAACTACACTAGAAAAGAGAAGCATGACACAACACTAAAAACAACAGATTCCACAGTGATCAGTGATTCCTTCTAGATATGACGTAGTTGGTGCAATGTGACACAGCCAATCCAGACAGTAAACTGATACATCATTTTATTTCTGATGAACTCCATGCACTATTAACACAATTCAGGACACATAGATTCACAGCAGTCACTTTTCTGCAGTCAGATTACAGCTATTGCAATGCAACGCAACAGAGGTAAAGGAAAAATGAGACTAAAATATGCCAAATACGTTACATTTTAATACTTATTATTGTATTATTCATGTCAGGGTACAACAATGTAATTTTACTTGAGCCTAAAGTGTATCATATGCTCCACTGTATAATGCTTTCCTGATCCACACACACGCACACACATGTACACACACACACATAATTAGCACATCTGGATTGTTAACTTCAAACTGGATTATATCATACACCGCATGTGTCTTGTTCATCAGTGAACTTGCTCCAGCGTCGTTTGCGATGGCATGTGTGTGTAGTCTGCGTGCGCGTTATCTGTGTTGTATCGGTATTTGCTTTGGCACACAACACACACAGGTGCAAAAAGCTGAAACAGTAGAGCTCCTGATCAGAGCCAGTGAGTGCAGAGCTGTAATCAAAGCCAAAACCACCTGCCAATCAAACGGCTGCCAACTGGAGCCAATCACGGCAGTGGAAAGAGGAGTAGGTAACTAAAAGCTACAGCCGGCCAATGAGAGGAAGAGAGAGAGAGAAAAGAGGGGCGCAATATCGGTTTGTTAGAAGCTACTAGAGTGGAAAAAAGGAGAGGGATTTCACATATAAACTACTGGTGCGCACAGCATAGCCCAATAATGAGTAAGATGGAAGGAATGAACGAGGGGGAGAAGGAGAGTGAGAGGTAGCCTGATCAAATGAAGGAAATGCATCTCGTTTTGAACTCGAAACCACATCAAAGTGAAAATGCTGGCAATCTCGCAGGCCTTATATATACACACACACACACACACGTATACACACTCACATGCACACTTAATATGAGCTCTACATTTCATGAATACCAACACACACAAAAGGTTTTCTTTTTTTACCTGAACGTTTGGTGCGATGAATGACTCTATCCAGGCCTCTTGTGTGTTCATCCCTCCATCTGCTCTGTGAAGATGAAGGAATAAGGGTTTTTTGAAATGCAGTACAGAAGAATGAAATTAATTCATGGAGCCGTTTCAAAGCATTTTAGAGTTTAACTCGAGTTTGAGTTCGAGCCAAGACATGATCAATGAAACTAATCCACTTCTTCATAAAATAAATGTCACCATGTAAAACTAAAACTACACGCATACAAACGCACACACCTCTCTGCTGACAGACAACACTCTGAACATAATGAACATAATGTGTGTGTGTGTGTGTGTGTGTGTGTGATGAGAAACCCTGTGGATTTACAGCAGTAAGACATTCCATTGGGATGATCCAGCACACAAACACACACACACACACACACACACACACACACACACACACACACACACAATCACATAAACTTAATGAATTATTTAAAAAGGAAATACTTTTCTTATCATTATCTCGCATATGAACAAAGTAATAGCACTGTAGGCCTAAAACACACACACACGTATACACACTCACATGCACACTTAATATGAGCTCTACATTTCATGAATACCAACACACACAAAAGGTTTTCTTTTTTTACCTGAACGTTTGGTGCGATGAATGACTCTATCCAGGCCTCTTGTGTGTTCATCCCTCCATCTGCTCTGTGAAGATGAAGGAATAAGGGTTTTTTGAAATGCAGTACAGAAGAATGAAATTAATTCATGGAGCCGTTTCAAAGCATTTTAGAGTTTAACTCGAGTTTGAGTTCGAGCCAAGACATGATCAATGAAACTAATCCACTTCTTCATAAAATAAATGTCACCATGTAAAACTAAAACTACACGCATACAAACGCACACACCTCTCTGCTGACAGACAACACTCTGAACATAATGAACATAATGTGTGTGTGTGTGTGTGTGTGTGTGTGATGAGAAACCCTGTGGATTTACAGCAGTAAGACATTCCATTGGGATGATCCAGCACACAAACACACACACACACACACACACACACACACACACACACACACACACACAATCACATAAACTTAATGAATTATTTAAAAAGGAAATACTTTTCTTATCATTATCTCGCATATGAACAAAGTAATAGCACTGTAGGCCTAAAACACACACACACACACACACACACACACACACACACACACACACACACACACACACACACACACACACACACACACACACACACACACACACACACAGACAGACAGACACACACAGCACGCACGCACAGCACGCACGCACGCACACACACACATACATAAGCAGAGAGTTTTTATGAATACATTTTAATGATCCTTTCTCTTATGATATCTTCATGTGCACTTCTATTTTTCTTCTTCTTTCCTCATGTTTAAATTTTCTTCTGTATTCCAATTCAAACTCCTTCCACTTCTACCATCTCTTGTTCCATTTCTTCCTCATTTCCTACAATTTTTGCACTCCCTGATATTTCTTTTATCAATTTTTCTATTTTAATTGCTTTTCATTCTTTCTTTTTCTTATTCCTTCACTCCTTCAATTTTTTCCCCTTTTTCTTTCCTTTCAAAATTTTTCTTTCCTTTCTCAATCCTTTTCCTTCTTTCTTCCTCTCATGTCTTCTTAGGTAATAGGTTTCTTATTTCCTTCAGTTATTTCTTCCAACCCAACATTTTACATTGTTCCTTTCATTTTCTTTCTTTTCATTTTTGCTTACTTCCTGATTTTCATCCTTCCAAATGTTTTTTTTCTTTTTTTTCTTTCTTCCTTTTTTACTTTCATTTCTTTCCACCTTCCTACATTTCCCCTTGTTCCTTCCCTATTTAGATTCCTTTTTTCACTTTCTAATAATTCTTTTGGTCACACTTCACAATAAGGATTCAATAGTTATTGCATTTACTAGGGACCCTCCGGTCGATCGGCCGGACTTCACTGCAGTTTACTGAGTGCAAACACAGACGAGCAATCTGCTGATAAATCAACTGATTTTCCTGACTTTAAAATGCTCCAGAGTTCATGTGTCTGTGTTTGCACTTGGTAAAAAGTGGGCAACTGATGACCTTCACAGCCAATCACTGTCATTTCTAGTGAATACTATGGCAAATGAGTGCTGTTTAAGAACGTGCTCAACAGCGCTGCACGTTGCAACGCGTAGTTACATTTTTTGAGAGGTGCACGTCAAAGGTCTATGCGTCAGCGCCGTAGCATACGCCAGCGTTTGACGCAGAAGTATAAATCAGCCTTTAGGGTGCTTTCACATCAGTGGTTCAATTCATTTGGTCAAAGTTTTAATGCATTGTAAAAGGTGAAGGCGCATCGCAAGTCACTTCAGGTGGAAGCGTATTTCTGGAAATATTACCAATGATCCATTAGGTAATGTTTTTCCCTCTCTCTCTAGGACCATCCCAAATTGCAAACTTATGCACTATTCTATGCCATTTTGTAGAATAGGCAGTGAATTCACACGGAAAACTCAAATAGTAAGTGCACTTTAATTACCCGGACGATGCACTTATTGGAATGATGGACACTTCATGCACACTGCAGTTTTGCTCACGTAGCGGAAAGGGCAGAGCTATCGGCCGCACATGTTGGATAACTTGATTTATTTTGGATGGTGAAAGAAATAAATTCTCCTATGAGAGCGAGTAAAGTGCCTACCGATGGTGAATGCGGTTATACTCATGGCAGGTATTATTTAATAGTTTGGTCATTTAATTCACTGATTTGGTAACCGTCAAACATCATCTGGGAAAAGGTTTAAATTTTCGCTTAGTAAAAAAAACATCAGTGCTCCATTTGCGACAACACTACATATATATACTATGCTGTTGAGTGTGTAAGTGAATAAATACATAGTGCATGAGTGTATAGTGTGACAATAGGAACGCAGCTTCTGTTTAAAATTGTTGATTAAGCGCTGTCAACTAATATTTTTCCTCCACATCCCACAATTTACAGCGCTTCGGCCTACGGCAGCTGGATAAGTTCAAAAAGGTGCAGTATTTTTTGCGGTTGGGTTTGTTCTAATTCGGATCATTTTCTCATCACAAACAAACCACTCCAGGGTTCGTTTAAAAGCATACCAAGACAACCTCTTCAAGGAGGTCTCGGTACGCTTTTTAGTCCGCTTTTGGTGCGCACTCGAGTGCGATTGCTACATCCTGCCCAAACCAACCGCACCAAGATGGAAAACAAACTCTATTTTGATTCAACCGAACTAAATAAGGCAGGTGTGAAAACATCCATAAGCGTATTACTCTTAAAGAGATTATGATGTGATTTGATGCCTAATGTGCTTTTAATTGTTTCAATTAAATTTACCTGAATGACATTAAAGCGATGTTTACACGATAGCTGCACTTTGAAATCGTGGCAACTGCTGGAGGTTTTTTAGTCCACAGCATGTTGTTGCAATGTTTACAGTGGTGATCCTATATTTTCGGGTTCTCTTCTTGCTTTCGTTTTTTCAAATGACAGCTGTGTGACATAAGCTTATAATTACCAAGGTGGTAGTTGAGTTTAGGTATGGGATTAGGGATGCAGAATAAGATCATAATTCAGAAATACTAATAAACATCTTAATATTAGGCAGGTAATAAGCCAGTAGTTAATAGAGAGAAATGGAACTAAAAAGTGTTACCATTCTCTCTGCCTCTTTTTCTTCTTTTTTTCTTGAATCTTTTCTAAATTTGCATCTTAACTGTCACTTATTGTACACGTAAAATAACCCTATTGTGACTGCGATCATTTGAGGTCGCAATAAAAGGATGCTCAGCCAGATATCCACAAACACACACGGCTAATCCTACATCTTGTATTGAAGAGGATAATGATACTTTAGGATTGTTCCCATGCGAGTCAGTGAATGAAGTGGCTGAGAGAAGAGAAACTCTGGGTCATCTGCAGTAGCACATATCCGTGTCTGTGTCAGTAAGACAGGGAACACAACCCGGCTGCGTTTCACAGTAGAGTCATGTTACAAGACCTAGACTGCCGTTATCGTCTTCATTGCTCGTCTTTTTTCCCTTTTGTTGATTGCAGCATTGTTGGAGGAAAGAAAAAAAAAAAGAGTCTGAATTCACACACACTCATAAAGCGAGGTTGGCGGGGTCATGCAGCTGTGTCTGGGTAAAATTCAAGTTATTTATGTGATTAGAGAAGCCACTAAATCACAAAGTTCAGCCCTAGAGTGCATTGGGTGTCATGTGTATTCATATATCCATGTAAAACATTGAAGTGTGAGATTGAACACGAGTATGTGTGTGTTTTTTGCTGGTAAGATGACACTTGTAGATCTGTAAACACCTTGCTGTTTCATGCTTTGTTTTTTAATCCACTGTGTGTTTGAAATTGGACACTGTAGGCCTGTCTTCCTGCCAGAGGATGTTCCAGCCTTTGGACATGATGTTCTGGCTCTGAGTTTCTCTCTCTCTCTGTGTGTGTAAGAGCACTGAAATCATTTCTCCAAGCTTACAATGATCTGCTTATTTATAATAATGATCCGCAACAAAAGAAAGGGAGTGTGCAGGTTTAATTAAATATCGTTTAGGGACCAAGCAGATCCTAGAAGTTGGCCAGATCTGACAACGCCTGCTTTTGGGGACATCCGAGTCGGCATCAAAAGTCTAAAGGGATTTATAAATAAAGCAAATAATGTGTTTCTAATAATAAACCTGCAAAATGTTTTCATTTAGATGTACGGTTTGGGTTAGTCTCCAGTAATTATAATTAGCTTTAAATATAAACAATAGAAGTCTATGGAATGCCCTCATTATCAAGATGTGTGTATGTGTGAAACAGCTCTGTGCAGTCTAGACCTTGTAACCCGACTCTAGTGTAAGACATCTCATCTGTATTTCTTTCACAACACACACACAATTACAATGAAATACTGCACCTTATTTAAACTGTACGGTAACCTCTCTCTTTTATAAATGGTTATTATAAACTTTTTCTCACTGTATCACAACAGATGTACAGTCGAAATATCCAACACTTCACCAAAATGTAAATTTTAGTTCTCATTAAGTGATGTGATTGGATGTAATTAACTAAAATGTTGACAATTATTTTACACCAGAAGAAGTAAATAAAATTCAGCTGACTTAAATTTGCAGCAGCTTCTGAAAAGTGAACAGCTAAACCCATGAACAGCTAGCCACTGTTATCACAACAGTTTTTGATTTTGACAACATTTATGATACCTTTTATACTTGTCTGTACCAATAAATGTTGATCAATTAGGAACACTCTGCAGAGTTCCACATTATTCATTCATGTTGTCCCAACACAAATCAATTAAGTCAACGTTAAGTCCCCATGAGCCGGAAGCTGTGATCTCTGTTTTTTCTGTATTGTTACACAGTTCCAAGAGAAAAGAAATATTAAATGAGAAAACAGTGAGCTTGGCTTGTTTTTTCTACCACGGGCTGAATGGATGTAGTAAAGTAGGCATTTCATTCAGAATGATCTGGAAAAAGGTTTTAGGAGAGTTATTACAACCTAACAGATTCCTCCTGGCTCCTGCTCACCATTTCTGTTTGTTGTCAAAACTGACAGTTGAACCAGCGTGGTTAAGTATGTTTGCCACTCTCATTACCTCAAATCACTTCATCTGATATTTTAACTGTAAACAAACAGGAATTACTTTTTTA